TGAGACAGGGTCTCACTCTGTCACCCACACTGGAGTACAGTGGTACGATCTCAACTCACCACAGCCTTGACCTCCCAGGCCCAAGCGACCCTCCCATTTTAGCCTCCCAAGTAGCTGGAACTACAAGCACATGCCACCACACCCAGCTAACTTATTTATTTTTTAGAGACACGGTCTCACTATGTTGATCAGGCTGGTGTTGAACTCCTGGCCTCATGTGATCCTCCTGCCTTCGCCTTCCAAAGCATTGGAATTATAGGTGTGAGCCACTGCATCTGGCCTATATCCTCTATTTCTACCTACTCCTTACATGTCAGTATTCTCAGGATTCTGTCCTTGATCCTCCTGCTTTATCCTGTCTTGATTGGCATTCTACTTCCACAGCTTCACTGTCACCTGTATGCTGATGCACCTAAAGTTCTTTTTTTTTTTTTTTTTTGAGACAGGATCTTGCTCTGTCACCCAGGCTGGAGTGCAGTAACATAATCTTGGCTCACTGCAGCCTCTACCTCCTGGGCTCAAGTAATTCTCCCACCTCAGTCTCCCAAGTAGCTGAGACCACAGGCTTGTGTCACCATGCCTAGCTAATTCTGCTTATTTTTTTTTTCTTTTTGTTTTAGAGATGAGTTCTCACTATGTTGCCCAAGTTGGTCTCTAACTCCTGGACTTAAGCAATCTTTCCGCCTCAGCCTCCCAAAGTGTTGAAATTACACGTGAGCCACTTTGTTTAGCAAAACTTTATCTTTAATACTTATTTTTCCTCTTAACTCCAAACCTGCATACAGATATCTTCCATGTATATTATCTTTTTAACTTTTTGCTACAGAAGTGTTCAAACATAATGAAAGTAGAGACGGTATCATAACTGACTTTATATATCCATCAGCCAGCATCATCACCAATATCAGGCAATGTTTTTTAACCACCTCCAGACCATTTTGAAGTAAATCAGACATCTTGTTTCATGGACCTGACAGCACCTTTTATCACACACAGTGTATCCTAACTTTATCATGGCCACCCAGAGGGGAAACGAACTTCTCGTATCTTAACAGAGGAGGTGGTTTTGCAAATTGGAGCAAGGCGCCCCCCATCTGTAGCCAGGGCAGTTAGGCTCTTTCCCCTGTGTGGGAACTGAGAGGTTGAGGCACTACCTCACTAAATGTTTGCATCTCCAGGAGATGGCTCCCTGGGTCCTTCAGGAAGCATTCCTGGGTTGCCAGACTGGTGAGAGGCTTATTTAGTCATTACGGAGAATCACATACATTTGAAAAGGACAGAGAAATGATGAAATGAAAGGAAGGAAGGGAGGTCTCTGTATTTTCAACAGGGAGAATTAAGCCTCTTAATTTTTAATTTGTATTGTTCATATTGCCTGATTAACTTATACTTTAAAAATTTCTTTTGTGGTTTTTAAGTTTGAGTTGAATTCACATAAGGTCCATATTGCTTTATATTATAAGACCTTTGTAGGTCTCTCTCTCTCTTTTTTTGTTCTTTGCAGTTTATTTGTACAGGAATCTAGGTCATATGTTTGCAGAATTTCTCTGTTTGGATCCTTGTGGTATCCTATGACATGTTCTATGGAGATACATACTTCATCAGAGTTGACGTTTAACTGATACTGTCAGCCACTGACTATTACCTAGAATCATCCATTAACTTGTCTCCATGTACTTTCAACAGGATAGTCTCTAAAACATCAATGTCAACATATCCCATACTGAACATATCATCTTCTCCCTTCCTTCCCACGCCTCTCTAACTATTGCTGGAATCTTTCTGTTCCCTCTCATTTCTTTCCTTAGCTTCCTGGGGCACTCTGCTTCTCCAGTTTTTTTTTTTTTTTTTTTTTTGAGATGGAGTCCTGTTCTGTCACTCAGACTGGAGTGCAGTGGCACGAACTTGGCTCACTGCATCCTCTGCCTCTTGGTTCAAGTGATTCTCCTGCCTCAGTCTCCTGAGTAGCTGGGATTACAGGCGCACACCACCATGCCTGGCTAATTCACCATGTTGGTCAGTCTGGTCTCAAAATCCTGACCCTATGATCCGCCCACCTTGGTCTTCCAAAGTGCTGGGATTACAGGTGTGAGTCACCACACCCAGGCTCCAGGCCATTTTCTACAGAGCACTAGATCCAAAATGCAGATTTGATGTGTCCTCCTGGCTTAGAAACCCTGGTTGTTCCCACCATATTTAGGGTCTGGGCCTTGCCCCCTCCTCCTGCCACCTCTCTTTGCAGTCCTCTGGATGAACTCTGGGACCAGGGCAATTATGCATTGTTCTATAGGGCTGAAGGTATTCTCTGCCTCTTTGGTAAGCATTTCCTCTTCCTCTCTTATTCCTGGCTAATGTCTTCCAGACTCAGATATTGCTGCTTCTGTGACATTCTCCTGACCCTTCTCTTTCTGGGTCTCTGTTCCTGCCACACCCTTTGCACAGCTGGTTCACAGCCGTTAGCACTCGGCTGGGCTGCCACTTTCCCTGCCTGACATCTCACCAGCCTGTGAGCTCCTTGAAGTCTGCACCATACCTTATTTCTGCATCCCTGTGATTTAGTGGAGTGCTAGGCACACAGTATACTTTTGTTGAAGGAAAAAAGGGAGCAAAGCATCTTTGCTTTCTCCTGTAATTTCATTTACATCACAACCCATGATGAGTCTTCCCAGACCAGTATTTTGGTTTCTCTGAAAATGATCTGCTACTAAAAAGCCACCTGGTCTCCCAGATCTTTTAAAATGTATGACTCAAAGGATAATTATCACATATCAAACTTTAACTCTTGCAAGGTGGCTGGCTACCAGTTAATAAACATATTCAAGCTAAATGCTAGTGGGGGCGGGTACAATGTCTCACACCTGTAAACCCAGCACTTTGGGAGGCAAAGGTGGGTGGATCACTTAAGCCCAGGAATTCAAGACCAGCCTGGGTTGGCATGGCAAAACCCTATCTCTACCCCAGCCTCCCCCCAAAAAAATTAACTGGGTGTGGTGTTACGCTTCTATAGTCCCAGCTACTTGGGAGGCTGAGGTGGGAGGATAGCTTGAGCCTGGGAGATGGAGGTTGCAGTGCATTGAGATCACACCACTGCACTCCAGCTTGGGCAACAGAACCAGACCCTGTTTCCAACAACAACAAAAAACGCTAGTAGGTAATAACGGTGAGTTATTGCGCCCTTTTTAAAAATATATATATATATATATACATATATATACACATATATATATATATATATACATATTTTTTTTTTGGTTTAATAAAGTTTTATTTTTCCAAATGTACAGTTGGTTGGACCTATTCATGCGTCTTCACCAGCAGCTGGAGCATCTCCACCCTTGGTATTTCTGGTGTAAATTACTTGAGCTCTATGCTTTGAAACCAGTTTGATAAGTCCTTTGCTAAGGAGCTCCTGAAGGGCTGCCCTGACAAGGGAGCCTCGAATCTTCAGTCTCTCAGAGACCACAGCTGGAGTTATAAGCTTATAGTTGGGAACTTCCTTACAGAGTTTGTCATAGGTAGCTTTGTCAAACAAGACCAAGTTATTGAGCTTGTCCCGAACTTTGCCTTTGGACCACTTCTTCTTTCTTGGCCGACTTTCTGGCGTCTTTCTTCTTCTTGTCGTCCTTGGGCGGCATTGTGAAGCTCGGAGAGCAGCGGCGAACACTACAACCGCGTTAAGATGTCGGACAAAAAGGCTGAAATATATTTTTAAACCAGGACATCAGTAGATAATGACTGCTTTCTTTCAAGTAAGGCTGGCCTCTAGTTACTTTAGACAGATGCTGCATTGTTCCTTTAATTCCAAAATAGCACAATTCAAAGGCAGAACCTAAGAGATTACAGTGGTTGGCTTAAATAATTTAATTTTTGGGCCGGGCGCAGTGGCTCAAGCCTGTAATCCCAGTACTTTGGGAGGCCGAGGCGGGTGGATCACGAGGTCAAGAGATCGAGACCATCCTGGCCAACATGGGGAAACCCCGTCTCTACTAAAAATACAAAAAATTAGCTGGGCGTGGTGGTGCATGCCTGTAATCCCAGCTACTCAGGAGGCTGTGGCAGGAGAATTGCCTGAACCCAGGAGGCGGAGGTTGCGGTGGGCCGAGATCGCGCCATTGCACTCCAGCCTGGGTAACATGAGTGAAACTCCGTCTCAAAAAAAAAAAAAAAAAAAAAAAATTAATTTTTGAATAAATTTACTTATCCCTATTAATGGCCAAGCCTTGTTGGTATTGAGAATAAATATATGTGGTAATGCTCAGCTTTGAAGGGAAGAAAAATGGCCTCTTCCTGGCTCCCTTCTCTACCCCAAGAGAAGAGAACCACACCACAGAAAAAGAAGTAGAAAACACCTTTCTGTGTGACCCAAGAGTTGAGTCACAGCAGGTTGTGGCATTGTGGTTAGGGATTTCAGAAAAGTGGTATTCTAAGATTTAATTGGCCTTGCCTTTATTTTTTTTCATAGGGAACTGTGAGAGCAGGACTCTTTAAGGGCCATTCCAGTGAGAAATCAGTGGGCCTGCATTTGTTCGTCACTTTTTTTTTTCCCAGTAGGGATGGGGTCTTGCTATGTTGCCCCAGCTGGTCTTGGACCCTGGGCTCATGCAATCCTTCTGCCTTGGATCCCAAAGGCATGAGTCACCATGCCCAGCCTGTTTGCTACTTCTCACCAGAAACTGTTGTATCAAAATGACATAGCAATATTACAAATTTTGGTAAGTCTGAGGTTACACCATCAGTTTCAAGAAAAAGGATAGGGTGTGGAGAAAAACCACAGAGATGCCTCATGCAGTTGAACTAATCTGTAATCTCCAGCATGTGTCAGGTCTTTCCTTGCTATCTCATTGAAACCACTGTGTGAGGTAGGACAAGTTTAGAGACCGAAACTGACTAGAGATCTGGACTCTCCTAGGAAGTCAGGGGGCAGATGACAGGAGTTCTTTTCTTTGCATCTGGTATAGTGTTTGGCTAACAGGCTGTCTGAGTAGTCAGTGCTTTTGGCCCAGAGTAGTATGGAATGCGGTGCAATCTGTTTGGTTTTAGGTTTCTTGGGCAGACTCACCAGGATGCTAGCCCAGGGTCTAAGGCAGGGAGCTACCCATCGGGACCGGTAACTTGCAAAGCTCTAGTTGTCAGCCTGATGTGTCTTCATTTAAATCCTTTCTGGAACAAGGCTGAGTGTAAACAATTTTTTTTTTTTTTTTTAGACAGGGTTTCACTTTGTTGCCCAGGCTGGAGTGCAGTGGCATGATCTCGCCTCACTGCAACCTCTGCCTCCTGGGTCCAAGCGATTCTCCCACCTCAGCCACCCAATTAGCTGGGACTACAGGTGCATGCCATCACACCCAGCTAATTTTTGTATTTTTAGTACAGACAGGGTTTCACCGTGTTGACCAGGCTGGTCTCGAACTCCTGACCTTAAGTGATCCACCTGCCTCAGACTCCCAAAGTGCTGGATTAAAGGTGTAGGCCACCGCACCCAGGTGTAAACAATTTTTAAACATCACATGCTGTAAACAACAGTATTTTTTCCCTGGGGACTGTTGCTATTTCTTCTTCTGGCTAGCTACTGGAAGGACTGAAGTTTTGTCAACATGTTAACAACAGCAGATCTTTTCTTGTCAGAGGAGCTCAACAGTCTCGTTCTGAATGGATATGGTTATGCGACTTTATGAAGTCAGAGCAACCCTCCTCTTGCCTCCACCCCTGCCTGTGCTGGAACCAGGTTGCTAGGGTGCCATCAGCTGACAGTCTGAGAAAGCCTGAGGTGGCTCATCATGGTCTACATGTGCTCAGAGCGTTGACATGAGCTTGGTTCAGAGTGGTGTACGTTCCAAAACCTATCTTTAGAAGATGATAGCATCTGTTCTCCTTAGGCAAGGACAGATGTAGCTGGAGAACCAATTAGCAGGAAACATATAACTCATGTGGTAAATCATCTCGGTTATATCTCGAACTAAATTTTCAAATGTGTATTGTGTGTGTGTGTGTGTGTGTGTGTGTGTGTATGTAACTCAAGGATCACATTCATTCAAAGGCATCTATTAACATCATGTTTGTACCATTTGCTCTTGAGGTTAATGCTGGTGTATGTTAGATAGATATATTACGCCGAAGTGACTGGTCGCCGATCCTCACAGTCACTTTCCTTGAGTCCCCAGTTCTACTATCTCTGCCCCTGTCTTAGTCATGGTCCTGCCCCTGTCTTTCTCGGTCATGGTCCTCACTGTCTCTGAGAAAACCTGCCTGTTGCAGAGACAACATGAGAGCAGAGTAGGGAGGAAGGAGATGTTACAAGGGCTGGTTGGAGCTGTCTCCTCTGGGACTCTGAAGAAGTATATTGGGACAGGTATCTCAAGACACATGGTTCTTTGGCTGGGCACACAGTGGCTCACACCTGTAATCCACCACTTTGGGAGGCCAAGGTAGGTGGATTGCCTGAGGCCAGGGGTTTGAGACCAGCCTGGACAACATGGCAAAACCTCATCTCTACAAAAAAAAAAAAAAAATACAAATTAGCCAGGTGTGGTGGCACATGCCTGTAGTCCCACCTACTCTGGAGGGTGATACGTGAGGATCGCTTGAGCCTGAGAGGTTGAGGCTGCAGTGAGCCATGTCTGTGCCATTGCACTCCAGCCTGGGTGACAGAGTAAGACTATCTCAAAAAAAAGAGACATGGTTCTTGAGGTTGTATAGCCTTTGGGAGTTAAATGCACCAAAAAAAATTCAGATCTCTGCATTTTATTGGTAGTAACCAAATGAGTTTACATAAATAACAGTCTCTTCAAAGGTTATTACCCAAATTACGTTTTATGGATAAGAGAAATTCTACTTACTTCAAATGGCCTGAATTAACCCCAGCATCCCCTATCCTCCCCCACCCTCCAGTTTAGACTTCTAGTAACATTGTAACTTTATTTTTAGAAAGTCTTTTTTATTAGTCAAAATCATAATCATCTTGATTAAAAGGATGGGACACTCCACCCTCAGCAGAAAATGATACAGTTTATAGAAAACCTCCCTACCCAGGCCGGGCGCGGTGGCTCAAGCCTGTAATCCCAGCACTTTGGGAGGCCGAGGCGGGTGGATCACGAGGTCAAGAGATCGAGACCATCCTGGCCAACATGGTGAAACCCCGTCTCTATTAAAAATACAAAAAATTAGCTGAGCATGGTGGCGCATGCCTGTAATCCCAGCTACTCAGGAGGCTGAGGCAGGAGAATTGCCTGAACCCAGGAGACGGAGGTTGCGGTGAGCCGAGATCGCACCATTGCACTCCAGCCGGGGCAACAAGAGTGAAACTCCGTCTCAAAAAAAAAAAAAAAAAAAAAAAAAAAAAAAAAAAAAAAAAAAAAAAAAAAAAAAAAAAAAAAAAAAAAAAAAAAAAAAAAAAAAAAAAAAAAAAAAAAAAAAAAAAAAAAAAAAAAAAACCCCCCCCAAAAAAAAAAAAAAAAAAAAAAAAGAAAACCTCCCTACCCCTCCCATACCCTAATTAAAAACTACTAAAAAAGTAGGTGGCGGGGAGGTGGGGGGGATGGAGGCAGCAAATCACCTTGGCATGTGTATACCTATGTAACAATCCTGCAAGATCTGCACATGTACCCCAGAAGGGGGTAAAGAAATTTAAAGAAAAATTAAAGAAAAGAACTTTCTTTAAGAAGCGGGTAAAGAAAATTAAAGAAAACAACTACAAAAAAATCTGCCCTCCTTCCCTACGATGTCATGGTAGTCTGACTCCTCCAGCAGAGCAGCACTACAGTTCTGGAGGGCCAGCTCACCACAGCACCCTCCACTTCACCCTGGGGAGAGGAGGGATGTGCAACTTTATTTTTAACAAGCTAGTATTTCAGGTACAACTTTGTTCTAAGAATTAGCAGTTGCATCCCTTTAAATTTCCAGGAATTCAGCCAGGTGAGGTGGCTCATGCCTATGGTCCTAGGACTTTGGGAGGCCCAGGCGGGTAGATCACCTGAGGTTAGAAGTTCCAGACCAGACTGGTCAATATGGCGAAACCATCTCTAGTAAAAATACAAAAATTAGCTGCGCATGGTGGCAGGCACCTATAATCCCTGCTACTCGGGAGGCTGAGGCAGGAGAATCGCTTGAACCTGGTGGGTGGAGGTTGCAGTGAACCGAGATTGCATCACTTCATTCCAGCATGGGTGAAAGAGCAAAACTCCATCTCAAAAAAAATAGAATGCAAAATTAAACTAAAATCCAGGAATTCCTTTTGTGTGAGGCTAAATCTGCCACATACATTATTTGAGTCTATAACTTTAAAAGCCATTAGTACCCAGTCAGCACAAGTGAGGTTGCAGAGTCTTTGTTTTTCTCCTGATTTCACTGACTTGTTCCTGACAAGTCACAAACATTTCTATCCTATTTAGAAACAATTTGGAAAAACTGCACAGTAAGAGGCCCCTGGCTTTTCTCCATGTCTGCAATTCTGCCAATGGGCTGCCTGTGGCTCAGCAGATCCTCCTGTATGTCAGCCCATTTTGAAACCCATCTCTCTTGACTTGCTGGGAGCCCAGTAGCAACTGGGGTCACAGTAGTAGGGAGAATGGGATAGCCTTATGCTATCAAAAAAAAAAAAAAAAACCAACTTGCTTACTCATCATGTAATCGTATATGAGTCTCTAACCAAAGGGTGATTCAGTTGCTGTTAAAACGGTTGGAGCTATTTACCATTGGTGAAATTCTTCCTCTGCAATGTGTGGATAGTGATACCAGCAGAGGATGTGAGAATGAACACATATTGCAGAGTGCATAGCACAGTGTGGTGTGTAGAGGCAGACAATTACTATCCATTTCCTGTCTCAGGCTTCTTTCAGGAATTTACTCACTAGCCCTGAAATAGAGATATTTCACTAGCCACAGATATTGCTAAGGTCAGGTAGGGCTGTTTTGATTTCTTCCTTGCTGCTTGGTTGCATCATTCTGTTGATGTACTTGTGTTCTTGTTCCACTCCAGTAGGGCCTGGATAGGTTTATCAAGGCCAAAGGTAACATCTCGGCCTGAAAGATCAGAGTAGTACTCAGTGTATTTTATTACCAGTACTTGGGAGAGAAGCAACGAGGCTGTGCCAGTGTATAAACAGCAGGTGAAAAATGAGAGACTTTCACAATGGTTCCAAGTCTGTTTGACATGAGCACTTCCTTGAAGTTTCAGGCTCCTGTTGTCCTACAATGTCCTCTTAGAAGAAAGAGCAGCAATGAAATACTAGGTGTCACCTGACCTGGACTTACAGATGAGTTGATCTGATGCAGTTAGAGAAAGAAAAAGTTCCCTCAGGCATAACAGCCAGACACATATTCCTTACACATTACAATGCTTGCATTTTTTGCCATTACCTTAAGATTCTTGAAAAACTAGTGAGACCATTTCTTAAAACCGATGAACCAGAAGAATTTGCCACAGTACTCTGATAAGGAAATTTGCCACAGCTTTATGGCTGGGCACAGTGGCTCACCCCTGTAATCCTAGCACTTTGAGAGGGTGAGGCAGGAGGATCCCTTGAGGTCAGGAGTTTGAGACCATCCTGACCAACATGGCGAAACCCCATCTCTACTAAAAATACAAAAATTAGCTGGGCATGGTGGTGCATGCCTGTAATCCCAGCTACTTGGGAGGCTGAGGCAGGAGAACCACTTGAACCTGGGAGGCAGAGGTTGCAGTGAGCCAAGATCGTGCCACTGC